GGAGCAAAGAGAGAAAGAAAAAACCATTCATTTTTAAATTCTGATTTTATGTCTGTTAGGTAGAAAGAATGATAATATGATTGAATAACCCAAGCTACTTACTGGACCTTTGTAGGGAGAAGGGGAAGCTATCTATGTTTTAATCAGCATCAGTCTGAGGAGTGAGGACTTGGTTCCCTGTGCTATTTAATTCTTAAAGTGGGGCTTAATATTTTGTTCTCCTAAATTTTAGAAAATGATGAATCCCATGACCACCCTATACCGGAACTCATAACTTCAGGGAGATATTAGACCCCTGAAAACCATCCATTTCCTTCTACTTCAACACATCTGAACTGACTGTTTAATTTTAAAAATAAAATATATATAATATAGATATCAACTTCTAAAGGCCAGGTGTGAACACACACACCACACACACATGCACAAACACACATACACCACACACGCACACAATACCCATGCATGCACACGCGTGCACACACACCACACTCACACACACAAGCACGCACATACCATACACAATGCACGTGCACACACACATGTGCTCACACACCACACACACACAAACACACACCACATACCATTCTGGTAATATAACAAGGAACAGGTGTAGAGCATGATCATTTACTCTCAGAGAACAACCACAGTACTATATATTTCAGGAATCTACTTTTTAATTTAGCCACTCTGCAGGGTCGACGTGCCTTAAGGATTAAATGCAAGATATAAACAGTCATTAAAACACAAAACACCTATACTAACTAACCGGATATTAAGGAGGAAATATCACATGTGTTTAGAGGTCCATTTCAAATTCAGGAACATCAATTTCAAGGACTTGGTTTTATGGCATGCCCTTAAGCCAAGAAAGAACAGCAGGTTGCAATCAAAGGAAGGTAATGCTACTTATAGGAAAAGTCGCACTACAATATCCTGTCCCCAGAATCTTTCTCCTTTCAAAGGCGTCGAGAATGTGGGTGGCTACTGTCTTGGAAGAGGAACAGCTATCGCTGCGTGGACATTGATAGCTATTCTATCCCGGTATGAAGAAGAGGCAGAGAAACAAATTTCCATGCTGTTTATCTGATGGTACTTTAAATAATGAAAGCTGAAATTTGGTGGGTTTTCAGCACACCGAATTTGAAACTTGCAGCAAATCTAAATTCTGTTATTTGGCTGTTTTGTAAGTTCAACATGCCAGTGAGGGTACATCTGAAACAACCAACTTGTAATGATTCAATCAGTCACATAGGCTCAGCTTTCTTAACTTTTCCAAACCACACACCACACCTCTGGACACCAGTGAAGCACATTCTAATTGTGGCGAGCCTAGTGAAGTACAGATAAAAAGAACAGTCATCGGCAGTGATGTTAAAGGCAACACAGTCAAATGTAAGTGTAAGTGTTCATTCTCTGGATTCTTAGGCTGTGAGTTATGAGTAACTTTCCTTTCCTGGGAATAACTGAGTGCCACCCACTTGGGGTCCTGCTGTCTGTGAATTACTTACATGAAAATGCTCATTAGGAAGTAGAAATTCCAACCCCCATTGAATATTGGGAGGAGAAGCGAAGGAACATGGTCCTTTAAAGGAAGTGTTCTTCACATTGCTTACTACATCATCACAAATTCCCTATCCAATCAGAGGAATGAAGTTGCTACAGGTGACACCTCCATCAGAATATCTGAGATCCGGAAGGGCCCAAGTCTGCAACCCACGCTTCCTGAACTCCTATGGTCCTTGTTATGAAAGTCTATGGGAGTGGTTTTTCCCATACTAATCCAGGAAAGCTACTCTTTCATCACTGAGTAAATACTGGTAGCAGCTTCGTGGACACGTATAGGACCGTGTAGTTTTTTATCTCTATCTGGATTTCTATAGTGAACTGCACTATTCCACAGACAAGAGCCAGGACGACAGCTCACCATACTGGCACTCAAGAGAAGACATGGAGATCAGAGACCTTCCTCCTAGGGTCACAAATCATTTTATTAATTTACACCTGATTTTACTTCTCCCTAGAGGAGCATGACCGGATACAAATGCAGTAAGAACCATAAATATAATATAGTTTACTATTAATCACATTTAGAAAAAAATAAAAATAATTAAAATAATTTAATAATATAGTTTATTCAACCCAAGATAGCAAATGTATTTGAACACAGAGTCAAGAAAGAGTACTTAATGAAACTTTTGACGCACACACCAAAATGATATCTTCTTCTAAGTGGAAATGGACACCGCTCAAGAATCTTTACTGACTAACTCTGTCTACAGTTCTTATGACAGGGCAGTTAAAGACTCTGTAGACTAAACATGATAAAAAGTAAGCGATTTGAGGGTGGGTACTAGGTAACAGGGAGACTGGCTGGGTTAGGGTAATTATTAACTAAAGCTGTCCAGCTGCTCAGAAACTCCAAGAACTTCCCGTAAGCTCACACGGGTCTTTCGTTTCTAATCTGAAGCCTACACAGTGAGCACTTGCTGTGTCCTTGGCACAGTGTCTGCTCCGGGAACATTGAGGCCCCTGAGCTTCAGTCCTGCAGCAGGGCAGGGACCATGTCCTCAGGTCCTCATCACTATGCACATAGCTCAGTCTGGAAGGAAGGAAATGTATGTGTTCCTTCTACTGCTGATCTGCAAGCACTTAAGCCATGACACCTGCATACAGTCTAGGAACAAGCATTTTGAGTGGCAGTATTTTCTTCCTGAAATTAGAACACGCATCTCTGTTGGTAATACTATATCATCCATCTCAGAATTCCCTGAGGTCATGTTTGGATAAATCTATTAGAACTATGGGAGCCCCCGTTTTCTCTAAGAGAAAGCAGTATTTATGTTATTTCAATTGTTCTGAGCACTGAGTCTACATGACACAAACAAACATATGTGAGGGGATGTCCGAATGCAAACAGTGAAAACACATTAATCAGACAGACTCACTTTAGGGTACATAGACATCTCAAAATATGCATTAAATTATACTTACTCTTGTTAATGTAAATTTTCTCATAGTTATATCATTCCCCCTTTCCCAATTCAATATATTTAGACTTAACCTGGTCTCAATAATTGCATATTTAAAATGAAATGAAGACAAACAAAAATCTCCACAAAATACCAAACACTGGCTGTCTATGTATTCATCAATAAATTTGATCAGATATACCCAACTTTTATTAATGCTCTATCAAATAAACTTCCCTAAAGAGCAGACATTTTAAAATATTTTATTTTTCTTTTTGCTTATGTGATTATGTGTGTTGTTTTTAAAGATTTTATTTTTCTTTTTACGTATGTGATTAGGTGTGTTGATATACACACACGAGTGAAGTGACTTCAGAGCTCAAAGGAAGGCATTGAATTCCCAGGAGCTGGAGTTTCCTACAGAATCTTCTGCAAAGAAGGTAGGTGCTCTCCAACAAAACTGCCTGCACATGAGCTGGGCAAGGGATACACCCAGAGACATGCCCAAGTGTTGGGGGAGAGATCACGAGGCCTCAAGACTGTGTGAAGAACCACAGGCAACCAAGAATGCTGAAAGCAGCAGAAATAGTCTTCCCTGGAAAAGAGTGCATCAACTGGCTATCCAACACAAATAGTTAGCTGGGAAAACACACACATACATACAAGTAGCATTATACAGACTGAGCAGTGGTATGTGTGCATGTGTGTGTGCGTGCGTGTGAGTGCGTGTGTGAACATCAATTAATTAAAAAATGAGACCATGAATTTGAAGGAGAACAAGAAGAGGGGTATGGGAGGTGTGGAGGGAGGAAAGGGAAAACGATGTAATTATATCATAATAATAAGTCATTAAAATACATATTTAAAAGAAAAGGTGCTCCTAAGCACCGAGCCATCTCTAGCATCCTGAGAACAGAGTTTTAAACAAGATAAGGAGATGACATTGCATCTAAATTGCTTTAAAGGCTCTACTTTAAGGAAAGGAAGTGCAGAAACTGGCAAACTCCTAACTGACTGGTAAATACTCAATAAAGCAGCATACCATCCCTACTTTATAAACGTTTGCACTGGTTTCTGAAAACAAAATTATATCAAACTATGAGAATTATCTTGGCCCATCCGTCACCCTGATATATGTCTTTCATACAGTACTCTAAAGTGAGACTTGTCATGAGGCATGGATTGGCTTTCAGGAGAGTTTGAAGTATGGTTACACTATTGGATATTGTTCTTTGTGATAAAATGTATGGCCATTCACCAGAGTTTAACTTGCTGGCAATTTGGATGGATGAACCACCACTATAGTTCTTCAAACCAAATGAAAATTTCAAGAACATAACCCCACAAGTCCAAAAGGATGGATGGAAGTAATTTTTCTGGAAGTAATTTTGACTTAACCTATCAGTGATAAAAACAGTAGTTACAAATATGTTGTTTCAGAAGCACTTTTTTCTTTTATAGCTTATTTTTCTTCAATTTCAATGCTGAGTTCTAGAAGACCAAAGCTGGCTTCATATATTCATGGTGTTGGGAGCTTAGACTGTCTCACCATTCACTGTCCTTCTACCTTACAAAGTACTGTGCTGAATCACTTAAAATACACCAGTCCATTCTTTGACATTCTTAAGCAGGAGGACAACAGGCATGGAACAAGGTCAAAGGCTGGCTGCAAACAGGGTCTTTGGAATCACTTGGTTCAGTTCCTAGGTCTCCCATGTCCTAGCTATGTGTCCTTTAACAAATAGTTATGTTCCTGAATCTCTCCCTGCCCCATATTTTATCAAGAAAAATGGAGATTACCACTTGTTCTTACTTACATGTGGAAATTTAAGTGAGGGTTTGACATGCAATCAGTGCTATGTAAGGAGTGGCTATTGCTATAAACATAGACTACATGACCATGCTATCTATTTTTATAGCTACTACTTTGCATTTTATCAAAGGGCCTATATATAATTCTCAGCTCTCTGGAGTTGATGGGCAAGGTCCTTTGATACTTCGCAGAAACTCGAATGCTAAGACACCTACCGGAACAACAGGTTTCAAACTCTGGCCATTCTGGCTGGCAGCGCTTGGCTGGACATCAGCATGTGGCCCCGGTGGTGGGTCACTGCTTCTCCTCACCAGCAGTGGCGTGCCTGCAAGACAAAATCAGAGGTGAGAGGTCGAATGAACCCCAGGGAGAAGAGACTCGAGGGCACAATGTATTTTAATTAAAAGGGTTTATAACAAGCTTTAGGGTTCCACCGTTCTGCTTCAAAGGATGCTTGTAAATTAACAGCTAATGCTCTTCAGGCGTGTCTAGGTAAGACAGCAAGCATGGACTCAGACTTTCCACCCTCATCTTTCCTTACTGCAGCCTAAAAACAGCCACTGCATTGAACAGATGTGTTAGGCAAGACTAGAGAATGATCTAAGAAGGGTCTAATTGCTGTCCTCAGACGCACATGTGGTTTTAAAGAATAATTATGCACAAGACTAATGAAGAAGCTCAAACATTCAATGCGATCTGACATTTAGTATACCTAGAAGCATAGTTATTACTGCCATTTGATGCTTCCCAAACCTTTTGAAGAATGATACCAACTGAATGAAATTACGCTCTGAGCTTACAGCATTAATGTCTATTTAAGTATATAGGGGATTGGCTCCATTCTGCTCTTTTTCCCCTAAAGTAGACAAAACTGATAAAGAAAATATGTTAGTTCTTCTAAAAATATATTCTGATTTCCTTTTAATTTAATAAAAGCTCACAGTATTAAATATTTGAGTCAGTTATTAAATTCTGAAAAAAAGATTAGAAATTTCAGATGCAATTCAACCTCAATAGGGCTAGCAACCTAACCACACTCACTGCAATTAGGCCTAAAATAATTTGCTCCGTACAAAATTGGCTTTTATAGAGAAAAACGCAAAGAAAAAAATCTGCCTGTGGTTTAAAAGTCACTCTCACAGAAAAATTAACTTTTATTTGCATACTTTGGGGAAAAGAGTGAAAACAGTAGAATGTAATTTTTCATTTATCAACATACTGAAAATAATTCCTCAAACTTCAATAGCTGCTTCAGCTTAAAGGAAGATTTCACCGCCATTTTAAGTTACTTACCACACAGACTTCATATTGCTACAACCTTCTTTCTCTGTGCAAAACCTGAAATCACTAGTTTTTACCCCTTTCTACACAGAAGCTGCTTTCTTGAAAAGAGGACTTTTCACAGGGTGTTAATAATAATGCTCTTGAAGACAGAGACACAAAGACAAAATGTACTCAAGAGCCCACGCACTCGCAGGCTTCCTCTTGTATTAATAGACTCAGCGCCACATGACTCTCTCCTTCCTCCATCTCGGAGATGTTAAAATGACTGACTGTACAGTTGGCAGTCCTTTCTTCAAAGAAACATGAAGGATAAACCAGACTAGAAGGAAAAAGTTCCTTAAAATCAGTCTCATAACAAGTTTTTCACTTCTCCAGTTGACCTAGAGACTAAATGTCTTCCAAGCCCCTCAGTTGTCCGCAGCATGAAGAGAAAAGTTGGTCTACATGCGATTTTCTCAGACATAGCTCATGGTATGTGAATTCCCAAAGAAATCGGAAGAACAGGAAGGCAGACACCTTGAAACTCTAAATTATTTCCAAGTACTTAATGAGGCGAGTACACTATAACAATCTCAAATTGGGAGAAATAAACAGAAAAAACAAGGAATGCCATCTTGGTTCACTATACTGTTTTCTCACTGTAAAAAGCAAGGTGATGATGTAACAGAGAGAAGAAAATAGTGGCCAACCATTTCAGTTATTACAACTTTTCAGCTGAGTCATACATACACACACATATACTGACATAGAAACACACATAAATACAGAAATACAAACATACGCACATACACATACAGACATATACAGACATACAAACACATATATACAGATACACAAACATATACACATATATACACATATATTTACACAGACACACACATACATATACATGTATTCATAACACACATACATATACCCACATATACCCACATATATAGATATACATACACACATACGTATACATATATACACATATGAGTGCATATGCACATATGCATAAACACATATACATATATACACATACACACATAACACATAAACACACATATGCTTACACATATAGATACACAGACATACATATATACATGGCAATATATACATATAAACACACAATGCACATATGCACAAATACACACTACATACATACACACACATATATACATGCATAATACATACACACATACAGACACAGCTGTCATAATGCATGGAACATGCTTTTTCTTAAATAATAAATGTCTTATTTTCAAGTTTTAGAAGATGGTTTTCCTTCAAAGTTGAGGATGCAAGCCTCTGCCTCATCACAGTTTATCTCCTACTTTACTGGTAAAATGTTAAATTATATATGATGCTTTTGAAGTAACAGGTATTCAGTTTTATGCATTCAAAATGCCATAACATTGTAATACATCTCTCAGAAGATGACAATTCAGTTTATTCCACTATATCAGCTACTTAGAACATAAAAAAAATCATCATTGGCACTCTGTTATTATGTATACCTTTCACATTTTTATGTATCAGTTAGAAAATTTAATTAATAAATACACACCAAACCTCCAAGCAACCAATCAAGCTTTAAGATGGATGATCTTCCTCAAACATGGACTCAGCTCATTAGGAAAAAGTTTCCCTCTGTGTTTTTTTTCTTCCACATTTGACTGTCTCCTGTTGAGTCACCTTCTAATTTTTCCTTGGCTGTCTTAATGTGTTAATAACAAGTGCAAATCATTTCATACTGGAATTAATAATGAGCATCTCAAAATATGAACTGTTATCTCAGCTTTAAACAAACCCTCCTCGTATTATTTTTCAAACTGCCAACCCCTATTAGCAGACTGCTGTCAAGGACAGTCGGAGCTGCCACTCAAAGCCATAGAGAACATCCTTGTGTTCAACAAAGGCAAGCAGGAAGGGTTAATGGTTAGGCAAACCCCTGAACACGGGAGGGATGAAGTCACATTCCCCCATTAAGCTCACTAAATAAGAGGGAGGTAACACTGTCTAGTTTTCTCCTTGTGGGGAGCGAGGAGAAACATGCATGTGCGCGGAAGGAGCTTGTTACCTAACCTGTGGACGCTGCTAACACCAACTGCCATGCATCAGCACAGGGGACTGGACAATGAGTCTCAGAGTCACATCAATGATTCCAAGACCATGAGAGTGGACTGCTCTGTGACAGTCTCTCCATGGAAACCCAGCTGTAAAAACATGAAAGAGCTTACGGGAAAGGAGGCAATGCTAAGGCATGCACATTTTATGACTTTGACCGTTGTGTATTCTTCAGGCAGAGAGATTACCCTCCTCTTCCCATATGCCCCCAAAAGGAAAAGCTTTCCCTTGGCACTTATTGTGAATAATGTTAGCTTAACCAAAACATCAACTTCAGAAAATCAAACTCATTTGTAGCGAATATTATATGAATGAAAACTAGTAAAAATCTAATTCTATGGTAATTAAAACATAACCTTAAAATTAGAATTAAAAATACATATTAGATGGAGTAGGGAGCTCAGAAATGGGAAATGTTTGCTAACCATTATGTGGCATAGGAGGTCCTTCTGTTTGTGTGTTGCTTGCATTGGTATAATAAAGAAACTGCTTGGCCTGATAGGGCAGAACTTAGGCAGAGAAGACAACTGAATTCTGGGAGGAAGAAAGCAGAGTGAAAGAACCACCATGGAGCTGCCAGGTCAGACATGCTGAAACTTTCCAGGTAAACCACGACCTCGTGGTGACAGACAGATTATTAGAAATGGGTTAAATCAATAGGTGAGTGTTAGCCAATAAGAGGCTAGAGCTAATGGGCCAGGCAGTGATTTAAATGAATACAGTTTCTGTGTGATTATTTCAGGTGTAAGATAGCCCGGTGGCCTGAATGAAAAACAGGCCCTCCCTCCATCAACAATTATGTTCTATCTGATTGAGGAGGCTCTTAGATTTTAGAGCAAAAATGCTCAGTTCAGGTCACAGACAACATTCCCTGGATCTAGAGTTTAAAAGCCAGAAGAGGCAAAAGTGAAATGAAATAAAGAATATTGCATGACATTTTTTCTCTACAGTTAAATATTTGGAGCTCAGCTATGCAACAGGACCTGGGGAGCAATGACAGTGAGCTGCACAAACACAGTAATTTGCTTACTTACATAGAGAACATGGGGGAGGCAAGGAACATGGCAGCAGGTTTCAGTATACGTAAAGGAAGATAACCATAACAGGTGGGCCACACATAGATAACAGGGAATCCATACCAATGCACACACATACGATGGACTATGTAAGTCCCATTTTGTTTAGCTAGATACCCTGGGGCCATAGAGGATGGCTCTGCTACATGGAAAGAGAGAAGCCCTGATGTGGGACATGGCTGTTGGTGGTTATATTCCTACGGAGGAGGATCTTGTCATAATTCCCATTGGACTAGCACCAATGACTTAAATTTCACTCTAATACAAACTTACACACTCATGAAGGGCTTCTGTCTTCAAAAATCTAAGAACGTTGAATCAATTAGCACTGGTTGTGTTTGGATGGAACTCGCTTACATGATCAGTGACTACATTAAATATTGAATTTGATGAACATTGAAAGACATGCCATATTTGTGGGAGGAAAGAATGGAATTAATTTTCAGGTGTCTATGAATGACGGTGTGTTTCCTAGTTATTAAACAATTACCAGTTTAATGTCAGTGAAAGTAGTGCGCAAAGGGGGTGTAGTTAAACATCCAACATCCCCATTAAATATCCCTAAGGCATTTTGAAAAAATTTAACATAGGCAACAGTTAATTAAAAGCTCAAATCGTTTCAGTAATGGGTCATGCAGGAAATAAAGGCCAACGTGAATGGGATGTGGGAGGCATTTTCTATATAATTCAATTTTCTGATTTTGATACATGTATGAGCATGCATACACACACACACACACACACACAAAGAGAGTGAGAGCAATGGACACACAAAGGGATGAGAGAGAGTTAGTTTTCTACACCTGAAGATTGTGCTTGGATGGAGTTGCTTAAGTGACAAGACATGTCATTTAAT